CCCCCCCCCCTCTCTCTCTCTCAGGGAATATGTTCTTGTTGATATATACTCAACATATCCAACACCTTCTTCTGTGTTAGGAGCAATTTATACAGACTTAACACTTCATTTTAGGTGAGACGCGAAGATGTACAATGGGGAATCTCAGCAATGGGTGTCATCACCTCAAGTGCACAGACCGCGAGCCTCCATAAAACAGTGGGTGCATCGATATCTCCATCAATCTCCAAAGACGAAGAAACAATCAAAGAACCACAGCTTTATTCCTCTCCAGCTCCATCCGGGACAAAGGTTCCCCTGTATAACATAGCCCACAGCAGGGCTGGTGACAAAGGGAATGACCTCAACTTCTCCATAATCCCGCATTTCCCACCTGATATAGAAAGGATAAAAACCTTTATAACTCCAGATTGGGTGAAGCAAGCTCTCTCCCCTCTTCTGAATCACACTTCGTTTCCATCTCCGACAGATATTGAACAAAGAAACAAATGGATAGCTGAGAATGTGAAGGTGGAGATATATGAAGTCAGGGGTATCCGTTCTTTGAACGTCGTCGTTCGCGATATCCTAGATGGCGGTGTCAACTGTTCGCGTAGAATCGACAGACATGGCAAGACCATATCAGATCTCATATTGTCTCAGCATGTCTTGTTGCCTCCATGATCCAGGTAGAGATTATGTTTAATCATAATATTTAGTTAAGTGTAATATATTTAAGGACAATTAGTTTTTTTTGGCTTTTGGAGTGATCTAGTGTAACACTACAATATTCAATTATTCATAATTCCAAATTATAAGAATTGTAGTGAATTAAAGCGAAACAGGTCCAACTCTTTCCAAACTTTTATTTGAACCAAGTGAAACTCAATAAAATAAAAAGCTAACACCAACCATTTTTTTAAATCTTACCTACCCATGCCACACTAGTAAAATCATATTACACTTAAATCCACAAATAAAGCATGCTTGCCTCTAATAACAATTACTTGATGTGGATGTTCCAGTTACATAACAATATTCTATTACTAGTGTGGCATGGGTAGCTCTAGGTAAGATAAATCATTTTGTGAAGGCTTTTGGAAGAGTTGATATTCATCATTATTCATGTTAATTAGTGATGTAATACAAACAAACAAGCAATTAATAATATCATTATTCTTATTGCAGCAATTCATTTCTTAAAACGATATAATTTCTTGGCGATCAAAGAAGACGCCAGAAGGTCCGTTTTCCGGTTGCAGAGCTACCCGCACGACATTTGAAGCTCCTTCTTCCGCGGTCAGGTGTCCGGTGTTGTAAGTTATGTCTGTTTTAACGTGGCCGGGGCAGACACAATTGACTTGAAAGGAAGGGTACTTTTGTGATATGATTCTTGAATATGCATTCATGGCTGTTTTTGAGACAACATATGCTGGCATGAAAGAAGGCCATCCCTTTTCTCGGAAACAGCCCTTTTTGTAGTCCTCTAAAAACATATCCACCACTTCATCCACCGCCTTTTCATCGCCGCCCTCTGTGACGCCGTTGCCCAACGCTCCTTTGGCCCACTCGTTACGTATGTTCTAAAAATATCATGAAAGAAGCACAATATGTAACAGTCAAGTAAGTAAATTCTTTAATTAGTCGTTTATAATATATAGGGGTTTTTCATATTTAGTCTTTTATTATCAAATATTATGTCCGTGGTCCTTATATAGATACTTTTTCATGGATAGTCCCTTTCTGACGTTTTGTTACGTTGGTATTATATTGAAAGCTAAAATTATAATTTTACGATGACCATATATTCTTCTTGTCATAATAAATACAAACAAATGTTGCTTCTAATGTATCGTTTGTCAACTAAAATCGATGTTCGATGTGTTATGGATGCGTAAGGAGGGACTTGACCATCCTCTATCACGCCCTCTTTCATAACATAGCATGTGTAAGTACAGTGGACGTTGCCCCTAGTGGCTTGACCACCATCACTACATGATGGCTCCCCCCCTCCAAATATTTTTTTATTTTTATTTTTAATTTCAACCAATTAAAATTCAACACACATTCACATATTATCACTTCCCATCACACTCATCGTAACACACATCAGACATCTTTATATCCCGTTAAGCCTGCCATAATACATGGCCTCACAAGTTAATATAAAAAGAACAAAGAAGAAGCATTGATCACTACAATACCTCAAGTAGTGCCAAACCAGAGGTGACATTAACAATTCTTGGAGATTTGGAGAGTTGGAGGAGAGGAAGAAATGCTCGAGTGGTGTTTTTTGCACCATAGTAATTTATTTGGATGCATTCTTCAGTCAGCTCATTATTGTGGGCAAGAATATCCGCCCAATTGACTTGACCTCCCTGCATGTATCATACCACATTAAATCATGGTCCGTTTGGTATACGGAATTGACAAAATTGGAATTGAATTAGAAGTTGGAATTCTATAAAATTGATTTGGGTGAAATTGAATTCTCTAATTTCAGTTCATTCTTGGCGCAACCATTTCCAAATCTACATATTTTTGTGCTACTAAACACTAAAATTGGAACTGTTGTCTCCAATTCCAATTCCATACTTTGAATCTCGTGTACCAAACGGAGCCTTATAGTAATTTTACTTCTAGAAATTTAGGAAAATTATTAAATAGAAAAAAAACATAAACTCCCTCTGTCTCATTGTATGTCTCATTGTATGTGTCTAGTATGACTTTTTTGAGTTGATTTTGACAAACTTTAAGCTTGAGTTACTCTCAATTTGTGTTACATATTAATATAATGGAATCCTATTTTGAAAGTTTTCAATAAGATAAACCTAATAAAATCAATTTAATGTAAAAATATATTACAATTTTTATTTAATTGATGTTCAAAGTTTATACAATTTGACTCAAAAAGTTAAACTAAATAAATACGGAAAAAAATATGTGATTTAAATTTGTTTTAAAAAAGTTTGATGAGTGTTATTATCACTTCTTCTTTTAAAAGGAGCACTTATCCTTCACTTTGTTAGCAAACTACTTAATTAAAATGCCATTCATATTACTAGTTAAACATTTCAAATATGAAAATTTATTAAATGAGTGTGATGAAATGCTTTTGAAGTCCAAAAAATTAGATAACTCAAATATTAATTTAAGTTGAAAAAACATGCCAATATAAAATCAAAATAAGGGTAATGGGTATTTTAAAAACTCCATATTTTATTTTATATTTCATAATTCATATTATTATTTCTGGCTAGATTTCAAATTTTATATCATATCAACAATACAAAACTTATGAGTCCTTAAAAGATAATATTGCCCAAGTTCAAATTTTAATCCTGTATTTTGAAGCCAAAATGTGCACATACCACTGACGCCTTAAGAGCATTTTCATCGGCCACAACTCCATTAACTCCTGCATTATTTACCTGAGACAAAAAAAAATTGACCATGCATATGTGAATAGTAAATAGATAATTTAATTTTTGAGAGATGCAACATAAAAAAACAAATGTCATGTTAATAAAAAATTAATTAAAGTGCAGATTTGTGAAGTTGTTGGCGTCTTTAGCAAACAAACGGAGTAGAGCCCCGCTAGAATGCTCTCACGGGTGATATCGTCTCGGAACTTGTTTCACACGGGTGGCTCACAGACATTAATTAAATGTCTTTGAGCCATCGTGTCTGATAACAAAATTCAAAGACAATATCATCCTAGGTGTCAAACTGTCAACCGTGGGGGCACTAGAGTGTTCTTGTCTATGAATTTGTTTTCAGGCATAACGGCTCACTCATGTTTTATATGATTGACTCATTATGTCTGAAAACAAAATTCAAACTAGACGGTATCATTCTAGGTGTTAACCCTTGGGACACTAGATTATATTTTCTCTAAGGGCATAACTAGGTAGCTAGTTATAATGCATGCTCATTACATACCAAAATGTCAAGCTTCCCAAACTTGGCCTTAACAAAATGAACAAGTGAAGAGACAGAGGATGGATCCACAACATTAAGCTGATGGAAAACCACAAACCCATCATCACAATATCCCTTTAGCTTCTCCAATGCCTCTTTCCCCTTCTCCACACTTCTTGCAGTCAAAACAACCACGACTCCTTGACTTGCTAATTGCTTGCATATCTCAAACCCTATCCCTTTGTTTCCTCCTGACACAACCGCGTACCTGCGGCATACGCCAATAAAAAGTTCAAATTTTGTATGTGAGATTCGGTAGCAATTCGGTTCAAACTCGTGATCTTTTACTAAACAAATCTTTGGACTCAACCGCAAGCTCATACTTTGGTTGTAGGCCCAGAAAAGGTGTTGTTATGATTTAGAATGCACATCCATCATGTGCATACAGAATTTATTTTTAATTGAGCATTGCACGTGAATATTATATTGTGTTTTTGAAACTAAATGGCGGTGAAGGAACTCGTATGTGAGCAAAACGTGCTCTGATACCTTGTTACGGAACTAACTCAACCACAACCTCATACTTGTGGTTATAGGCTTAGGAAAGGTATTATGCTCTAAAGTGCCTTCTTAGGTGCAAACAAGATTTGTTTTTAGTCAATCTTGCACATAACTAATACTCCGTAATTTATAAGAACTTGGTGAAGATGAGGTTCGAACTTTTGACGTCTTAGTCAATAAGGTAGGTTCCGATACATTTCGAGCTTATGATTATAGATACAAGAAAAAATTTATACTCTCTCCGTCTTAAAATTAACTTTTATGTTTGACTTTCATGATCAAACTTTTAAAACTTTTACCGTAGATTACAAAAACAATACATTGAATTTTCTTATAAATTTAATATCAATAGATTTATTTTGAAACATAGTTTTGAAATATTTTATTTTTAATATATATATATTTATACATAAATAGATACAACTAATGATCAAAGTGTTACATTGAAAACCGTAAAATTCTTTGCCCAATGGATATTATTGTTACACGATTTAAAATTCTTTGTACATTTGAGCGGAAAACGCCAATTTTACTATACAAGAAACGCCTTTTGTAAAATAATAATAATAATAATAATAATAATAATAATAATAATAATAATAATAATAATAATAATAATAATAATAATAAGAGGACAAACCTTTTTGACGTGTTAGAAGGAGGGCTGGTGGCATCTTCCATTGTTGTTATAATAACCCAAATTGAGTTGATCGGAGGTATTTATATATATACTCCCGTGGCAAAAATGATAGGAGCAAGAAGGACAGAGTTTGGTAATGAGTTGTTGGTATAAATTTATGGGAGGAGTTTTTTTGTACACCAAAAATTGTACAATTAGTTTTTTATAGACCAAAAATTTAAATTTTTTTATTCCTTAAATAGTACTTAATAATATCTAGTGAGAGGAAAAATGTCCAGTAATAATGGACATTTACTTGAATAATGACTAATTGATAATGACCAAAAGTCCTGCATTGAGAAATAAAAACATATGACCCTATATTAGAAAAGTCATAATATTTTAGTTCTATTTAGGTAATTTCTCACTAACTAATATGGAGTATCACAACGAAAAAAACTGGAAAATCACGTTTCACTTGTACAGTTTGATACTACTTCGTACTAAAAGAAAACTCATGTCCATTAAATACAAACAATATATCCATGCAGATTCAAATTTTTCCTAGAATTCAAAAACTCATTGAATAATCTAAATTATACAAAACTCTTTTTTTTAATAATATTTTATTTTATTTTGTGAAAAAATTGAAAATAAAATAAAGCAAATTCACATGCACTCCTATAGGCAAAAAAGAGGAATTTACTTAAATAGCACTAATTAAAATATAATGACTTTGCCTAGATAGCACTACATGTGTTTTTGTTCCCAATGTAGCACTTTTAGTCATTATGCATTAGTCATTATTCAAGTAAATATTCATCATCACAGGACATTATGGACATTATTAAGTGTTATTTAGGGAGTAAACAATTTAAGTTCTATTTAGGGAAATGACTTAAGTTTTAGTGCTATTTAGTGCAAATATTTCAAAAAAAAAACACGGATGTTCCCAGGCCTTCATGAATTCCTCGCTCTTCTCTCTCGACTTCAGGCTTGGGAATACGAAACCCGAGCCAAAAAGAAGGGAGACGAGTTTGGGTCTTTGAGAGGGGTTCGGTCGACTCCAGATGGATCGCAGAGCTCCGTTGGGCAGGGATGGTCGCAGAGAGAGATCACCGACGAGGTGCTTCAGGTCTTGAGTGAGGTCAGAGTCCACAACTGCTGCTTTTAAATAAACACAAGTATATTTAAGTAATTTTATTGTTTTGCCTATCTTATATTACTTAATAAATATCCAAACATAATTTCTCAAGTTATTACTATCTTATTGTACCTACATTTAATTATCTACCTAATAAAACTTTACCTCCCTAGATCCAAACATACCCTTAATTATAAACGAAGATGTAAGATTCGGGCACGCCCCCACCCTAGCCCCACCCATGCCTCTCCAAATGTGTGGCTATTATATTGCATAATAGCCAGACATTTGGAACGGGGCTTAGGGCAGGGCTAGGGTGGGGGGTCGGGTTGGGGCTAGGGTAGGGATTCAGGGGGTGGGTTAGGGGGTAAGAACCATCAATTTTTCGAGTAGAGTATCGAGAGTGCTTTAAAAATGTAATGCAGATGGCGAAGAAAGCTTCCGACGATTCTCTGTGGAATTTAATTGGAGATCGACGATTCTATATGGATTTTAATCAGATAAGTTGATTGGAAAGCACTCTAATAGGAGTTGAGGTTGTAACAGCTGATGAGGAGAAACAAAATAACTCCCCGCCTCAAATCACGCGGCCGAATAGAAATTTAATATCTCCATATATACAATACAATGGTAGGAGGCCAAAATGAACAGTGTTCCCGCCTAAAGTTATTGGGCTGGGTATGAGCTATTTGGGCTGGGTTATATGGTGGGCCAGAATTCGGATATTGGACTGTAAATGGGTGGCGCCAGGCTGTTTTAAAATGTTAGCTTTAACATAGGGCGGCTGTTTTGCATAGGGCGGCATATGTAATGATGAAAAAAAACTTTGGGGAGTGTGAGCAATGTATTTACACGGTTGAAAAGCACTTTTTAGGAGCCCAATTTCCTGATGGCCATTTAATGCTTTGGATTTGAAAAAATCTTATGGCACATGGGCATTTAATTGAAAAGATTCTTCCACCAATCCAAGAACATTATTTAACCGAACCAAGGGCCAAATTCTCCATCACCCACAAAACTTTCATACCAACAAGAATACCAAGATGTCCAAAAAGCCTATAAACGAAATGTGGCACATGCTTGACAAAATTGATAACAAAACATTGGCATGGATCCTTAAGTTACGAGCGATCCGCGTTTACCATGTTCCGACTTGGTCTAAGGGCGGAGATTCCATGGAAGTCATCTTCCATTTACGGCAAAGATGGGGCATTGGTACCTAATTTCTAAACCATTGGGGGCCTGTTCTAAACAAATTCAAACTATAAAATTTTTATTTTTCAACATTTTTTAAAACTATGTGAAAGTCAAAAAAAGATTTACTTTCCTAGATGGATGGAGTGTTTTTTTCAAATACATATTTTAAATAAACAACTATTAGAATTTGATAATTTTATTGTAAATATTTAATTATATAGATTTTTGCATTTTTTTACCTTAATATATATGAACTGATGACTATCATGTGATAACTATGTGTAGATTTGTGGCATATTATGATAGTATTTATAAATATATAATGAGACGCATTTTAAAAATAAAAAAACGTTTAAAACACATACATATTCATATCCATATGAGAAATGTTTGTTATGTATAGTAAATCGTATTTTATAAAATCATAACGTATTACACACACATATGTATTGCCATATTATACGTCTGCCGTAAGTGACTATAATTGAGAAAAAGAAAGCCTTGGTGTGTGTGGATGTGCTTCTTGCAATACTAGAGAAAGTACTTCCTCTTGCCAAAGCGTGGGCTGTGCTGCAGGGGCTAAGGTGGGCATGGAAGAAAGGTTTGCGAAAGCTGATTGTCCAATGTGATTCTTTAGAGTGTGTTGAATGGATTCATGGTAGACACACTACAAGAGGTCCGGCACGCGAAGTGATTGAGGCATGTCAGAGTTGGATGGGAAGAGATTTGAATGTTACCATCTGTCATATTCTAAGGGGTCAGAACAAAGTCGCAGACTTACTTGCCAGAATGGGAAAAGACAGAGCGTTGATCTGGAGAGAGTTAGAGTCCCCACCGAATGGTGCACGTCAATTGCTAGAGGAGGATAAGCTAGGGTACTCTTGGCCTAGGCGCATGACAGTGAGGAACCTTTCTTGAGCTTCTGAGGTTGTTACCTCTCCATTTCGATAAAAAAATATCAAATGTTGTATTATTGGTGTAATGAGTGTACGCTAATTGATATTATTATGAAAAGTTTAATCCTAAATGATCGTGGTTGTTTCCTAATTGAGAGGAAGTTCCACGTAAAAATATTGTGTTGATCTTTTATTTCTTCTGCATTTTTTATCATTCAATATCTACTTTGGATGTTCTTTGAGGGTAACTTTCCCTACAAAGTTTAAAATTGATTATCACGAGTCTAACCGTTCGGAGTTATGTGTGAAGCATGTCAAATACTTATTTGTCTACTTCATTATACTATGTATGGAGTATTTCGTATTCTATTTATCTTTTTTACTATTCTTTGAACATTATCATTCGTATTATATTTATTAATTACTACTATGAACATTATTTTTTAAAAACTATTAATAGTCAAATATTGTATGAATTGGAAAAAAATATTATTTTATAAATTTGGACTTGTTATATATATATATATATATATATATATATATATATATATATATATATATATATATATATATATATATCTTGTTTTATATATTTATATACATACACTTTTAAATTTGAAATTATCACTTTTTTTGCAAAATTGTGGTTTATATACAAATTCCTGTTTTTTTTGACACGGTTTGGACATGGATATCATATTATTGTCTGTTCCAAAATAGAATAGTATCGACTAACTTTATGGTTTATCTCTTACCGATGTCAAATTTAAATAAGAACAATTCGTAATAAGTTCGATAATATAACGGTCCGTTATAGACCGTGTCCCCTCCTAACTCCTAAGTATCTAATTATATACGCAGTGGAGTAGTATTTTTTAAAATATTGGCCTCCTAAAATATTGCACCCAGCTAGGCCAAAAGGTTGTTTCATCCTTCCTGGCTGGCCCTAATTATAGATGATATTTTAGTATAAAAGTATTGAATGTTTCAAAATTGTTACAGGGTTGGACTTTTTTTGTTAAATTATGACACTATTTGGTCACTAATTAAATATTATTTAAAATAATTAAATATTTTAAAAATTTAACATTCCGAAAATATATTTTAAAATATATTCGATTTTACTAAATTTACATTATAACTAAATATAATTTTTTTTATAATTCACGATTAAAATTTTATAATTTTTATAGTTTTTCTTATAATTCACGGTATCACAATTTTACATAAAAAATCAAATTGTGGCAATCTTTGACGAAATTTCTCTCCATTCAATTTTGGAAGGGTAATTAGGTGCACCAATTCTCGATCATCCGTGAAATGAGCTTAACCACCAATTATTGATCATCATGTAACGATTATTTGCAACAAGTTAAAATGGAATTGGTGCAACAACATGTCCAAGTTTGATCCCTACCAACACCTAAATGTTTCCTTAAATGAGGACGGCTCCTCCCTCAGCCGCTATGTCCGCCTCCCATCCGCCCCGCCCACCGGTGACACTGCGGTCGCCGAAGGTCAAACCGCCGTGAGCAAAGACGTCGTCCTCGACACGGGAAAGAAGACGTGGATGAGGATGATCTTCCGCCCCGCTAGAATCCCATCGAATGACGGGTCGATCGCTAAGCTCCCCGTCATTTTCTACTTCCATGCCAGAGGCTGGCCGGATACATTTCTCCGTCGCAGATGCCATGGTCAACGAGAGCTGTGAACTCCTGTGTAGCGCGACTCCGGCCATCGTTGTGACCGCGCAGTATGAGGACGTGCTGGACGCGGTGGCATGGGTCCGGGACCAAGCCGCCGCGTCCACGAACGGGGAGAAGTGGCTGAACGATTTTGGTGACTTCTCCCGTTGCTACCCCTACGGGGTTAGCAACGGGGCAAACGTCGCGTACAACGCCGCGTTGCTCGCCCAGGAGCGCGACCTTCGGCCGCTTAACATGGCGGGGTTGATATTGAACCAACCGCTCTTTGAAGGGAAGGAGAGGACGGAGTCCGAGATGAAGCTCGCGACACACGAAAAGTACATATTGTTTAGAAATAAACCCAGGGTCATTAACATTGGGTTTACCCTTTTTTTAGGGCTTTACTTATGTGAAATGTTCACTAAATAGTACTAAAACATGTCATTTTCCAATATAATACCCAAACATTTTTATTTCTAAATAGTACTTGAATAATGTCTAATGGCGGGAATAATATCCAGTGATGATGAACATTTAGTTTGAACAATGACCAATGGTGGTGGGCATTTACATTTGCAGGCGAAAAGTTATTTTCACAATATACTAAAACTCTAGTAGACATGTTTGTTAAGGAATCTAGTAGGGTTTGTCGTTAACGGGCTCATTCTTGTTGGGCTCGTAATTAGGTCATAGTCTTGTAGCTATTATAAATAGCGGATTTATGTGTAATCAAATCATTCAAGTTTAGTTCTAATAATATTTCTACATGGTATCAGAGCCAAATCTTAGGAAAACCTAAAATCCTAGTTGCCTCTAGTTTGCCGCTTCCACCGCCGCCGTCGCTTGCGGTTTATCCAGCGACGGCGGCATCACCATCAAATCTCGCTGCGCCGAAAGGGCGTGAAACCCTAGTTCACTCTAGCTTCGGCCACCGCCGTAGTTTGTCCGGCGATGACGCCGTCACCCTCGTTCATTTACCAAAATCCACCGCCACTGATTGCCGATCCAAGTCCAGTGCCACAGTCGGAGTCCCATTTGGCAGTTCATTGGCGCCGTCACCCTTAAGTTTTCAAAACAAAGGGTTGATTTTGTTTGTCTCTGCCAATCTAAGGATTCCCAAGCTAGATTTGTTTTCAGGATTCCAGATTTGTTTTTATTTGTACTCCACGGAAGAAGGTTTTTATGTTCACTCCACCGTCCATCGAAATTTGATGACGTTTTTGGCGACATTGTTTTTGGTTGCTATTTGGTATGTTCAAGTGCAACCAGCTGTATGTTCGGCATATTTGTTTGTGAGGTTGGTCGCATAGTCGCGCCTCAGACCGACATATCAATTTGTGAGGTTGGTCGCATAGTCGCGCCTCAGTCCGGCAACACGGCCTCCAAGTTTGGGATGTCTGTTGTTCGTTTGCAGGGCCGGTCACCTTCGTTCGTTGTTGTCACAACAGATCAAGTTCAAGTTCTTTATCAATTTTTCTAGTCTTAGTTCTATTTTAATTGTCCAAGTTGTGCATTCCTTAATCTCATGCTCAACTTGAGGGGGAGTGTTAAGTAATGTAGTAGGGTTTGTCGTTAACGGGCTCATTCTTGTTGGGCTCGTAATTAGGTCATAGTCTTGTAGCTATTATAAATAGCGGATTTATGTGTAATCAAATCATTCAAGTTTAGTTCTAATAATATTTCTACAATGTTTCTTTGTCACGACCCTCCGTCGCATTTTATAACGCATGTTTTGGTTTACGATGTTTGACTGAAACTATTTTCAAATCATTTTATATGACAAATGGTATATATATTTAAAAAATAAAAATTACATATTAAAATACTGCATCAAAAGATCTACAAAACTAGTAGTGATAATAGTACTTTATTTTATCAAATTGCTAACGAAAATATAGAAAAAAAGTGAATGAAGTTTAACCTTGTGAATAGTGAATATGCATTATAATTTGGGGCAGGGGAGTAGTTTGTAGTACTCAATAAACCTGTTCATTACAAAACCTAAACAGCAGCCACAAAAATGACATGATAATATAATCAAATTCTTGTGTGGCACACCATGATCGATGGGGTCCCTCTTGTGCTAATCCAGCTGGGAGCCTTCAGCATCATGTATTCCACAAAGGATTATGATATCTGTACCCCAATTTATACCCCGCAGTTTTGCACCAACATTTTGTGTTGGTGCAAAACTAATTTTTATTAAACGCACCAACATTTGTGTCCGCGTGAATTTTTATTAACGCACCAACACTTGTGTCGGTGTAAATCATCGAAATGTTTGTGCAAACCTGTGGTGCACAAATGGGGTATATTTTTCGGTGTAAGTGTAGCATGGTCCATTCCACAAAACGATAGAATGTGAACTCTTTTTGTTGAGCATACTAAAATTTCACATTATTCATCACGCATATACGCCCGGATATATGAACACACAAATAAAGTATGAAGTACGGAAATACCTAAAAATGCAATTCGATTCATCAAACTGAAGATTAAAAATTAAAATTAAAAAAATTTAATTTTGCGCTACCCATCAAGCATATAATTTTTATTTTTTAAACGCTTAAATAATAATTTTATAATTTTTTGTTGAAATTTAAATTTTCAAAATTTTAAAATTTTATGTTTGAATTTTGAATTTAATTTTTAGTTTTAAATATTTAATTTTTAAAATTTAAACTTAAATTTAAATTTTTAGTTTTAAATTTTTAATTTTTAATTTTCAAAATTTAATTTTAAATGTTTAGTTTTAGTTCCAAATATTAAATTGCTAATTTTTAATTTTATGTTTAATGTTTTCAATTTTTTATTTTAAATTCAAAATTTCAGAATTTTAATTTTTTACTTTAAATTTTAAATCTCTAATTTCAAATTATAAATTACTAATTTTAAATTTTAAACTTAATTTAAATTTACATATTTAACTTTAAATTTTTAAAATTTTAATTTGGCATCTTTGATTCATCAAAGAATTTAAAATCTATCAAAAGCTAACCAAAACGTAATTTTCATTATATAGATAAACTTTATAAGACATGTTTCTTCATTGTGATAAAAAAAATCCACATGATTTCATTTTGACTCATGAATTTCAAATTCTTTCTTGTATAATGGAATTAAAAATATTGAAAAATTTGGAATTCCAAATCTACTACTCCGTATCTTTGTATTACCAAAAACAAAATTGAAATTGAAAAATTAAAATCTCCAATTATAATTTAATGGCCTAAATTTCATATACCAAACGAAGCCAATAATCTTCATAATATACATGAACTTTATAAGACATGTTTCTTCATTATGAAAATAAAATCTACGTGATTTTATTTTGACTCATGAATTTAAAATTTTTTCTTGCATAATGGAATTAAAAATATTGAAAATTTTGAAATTCCAAATCCACATATCTTTGTATTACTAAACAGAAAAATTGAAATTGAAAAATTAAAATCGCCAATTATAATTTAATGGCCTAAATTTCATATACCAAACGAAGCCTCTAATATTTTCACTCATACATATTTTCCAGCTTTATAGTACCCAATAAATCTGTTCATTACAAAACCTAAACTAAAGCCCAAAATTGACATTATAATCTACCCAAATTCTTGTGTGGTCAGGAACTTCCCCTTGTGCTAAATCTGGGAGCACTGTCTTTTGTTTTGCAGCCTATTGAAGCAATTTCCAAACACAAAGCAGGCCATTTCTATCCCCAATGAATAACAGTCCACCATCTGTTGCCCGGAGCGAAGGGGCTTCACCATTCGTAACAATTCGGCCCCGGTCGGAAAACCTAGCATGATTATCGAAGAAAATTAGAAAACCCAAGAGTAGAAAAAAGCACTTTCAAGGGCAGAGAGGTGGAAGGGTAGGATACTTACGAAGGGAGGTCGTATAGGCGGATAATATTGTCTTTGCACGAGCATATCAAAATAGGTTTGCCTTCGGCATCACGTATTCCACAAAATGATAGAATGCCCTGAGACAGTTAAGCCCATTGTCAATCTACAAGTTAAAAAGATGCGCAGAAAGTATGCACGTACACACACAAATATCAACTTACAGTCTCTTCCTTGTGTTCATAGATCACTTCCATGTTCCCACTTTCAGTTGCAGCCCATACCTAGAGAAAAAATGTAGAACAAAGACTGAATAACCTACCAAAGAGAAAGCCATAAAAGGGCAAAGGCATCATCGAACTGATCAGACAATGAAGAATGAGCGTCTTACTTTTATTGTGTTATCTAAGGACCCAGATATCAAATAGCTCTCCCAGCAAAGGACAGACATCACAGCACCCGCGTGCCCATGCAGCGTTTGCAAGCATTGCAAAGTTTTGAGATCCCACACCTGCAAGTGGTAAAAAACGATTCATAAAATTCCTAGTCAATACCGAAACACAAAACTAGATAAACAAGATCAATATCTTTCATCATAGTATCAAAAAGATTTTCAACAACTTAATCATAAACACTATAATCATCTGTTGCTAAAAAAACACTATAATCATCATATCCCAAGAACTTCAAGTAGTTTCAATAACAAATTTTGAGAATGGTGAATCATTTTTAAAAATACTACATAATTAAAGACAATGGTGTACTGCAGAACTCATAAAGATGGGTACAGACAAGAGGCCATACCCTTAATGTTTTGTCCCCAGAAGCTGAGTATAGTCTATCTGCACTCACAAGAAGTGAGAAAACAGCCAGGCTGTGACCTTTCAGTGATGCTACTAGTTCAGGTACTGCATCTGCTGAGCTGAACTTCCACACCAATATGGTTCCATCCTATAACCAATGGAATTATCAGTATTAGAGAGGTTTATTCAAAGAAGGATCAACAAGAAAAAAAATCTATTATTTCAGCTAGGTATATTTAAAACATTTGGCAGTATGTCAGTTACTAGTTTGAGCTAAATTTCTAACATATTACTCCTTCTCTGCATGGGTTTTAAAAAAAGAGTAAACGTTTTGCACATGGGCCTGTTCGAAACCAAACAAAACATTAAAAATTAAATGGTCAAAGGTTGCTGCTATACTTTTGAAACAAAGATGCATGTGGTGTAAAAGTTTGAGAGCTTATCTTTTAAGCCAATTAGCATGAGGTGGCAATCTTATACAAAAGGAACACTCGAGGTATGGTGCAGCAAAGTTTGAAAAGGATCAGAATTCGAAAGACTTAGGCAGTGAAAACTATTGCGCCTTGAAGCTTCAAGCAAGTTGGTTTGCTACCACTATAAATAGGACTTTTTAGATAAATGAAGGTGTGGTAGAAAAAAAGAGCAAAGCTCTTAAGAGAAGAAAAAGAAAGAGCAGTAGCTCCAAATCAAAGAACTGCCGCAGCACTTGAGAGAAAAACTAGAAAAAAAACTTCGAGACTTTTTTTGTGAGAATTTGTATTTTTCTATGTTGTAATGTTTTGCTCCTTGTGTAATAAAAATACTACTTTTGGTCCACTACGCTTCCAACAGGGCCACGGTACTAACAGTGTCAGTGTTTCACAGCCTATAAAACATCTACTGCCTCCAAAGAAGCCTCTTATCTAGCATGATGGGCTTAAGCCTCGATATACTGGCCTCATGAATGCCTCACATTCAGATGAGCCTCAAAACATGCCAGATAAGCACTTTTTAAAACCATGCTATAAACTCTTCTGTTCTTCAATTTCATATCTTTCGTAATGGTAGTAGATCAATCGTTTAAAACAATTTTATTTTGTTGCTTAGCTTGGTAAAACCAAGCTATGTAACTTTCTGGTTAGCACGGTAATACCATATTGAAGGTTTTTTGTTAGCCCTTTAAAAACATTTTTTGTTACGATTCTTTAAGTGAGAAATGTAAAAAGTTAATGTCCCTACTCCCTATGTTCTGCACACATGTACTCTCTGTCAAAACGAGAAGAAAATAATACATTTAGCAGTACACTTTACATGGAACATTTCTATTTTTCAATGTAATCTCAATCAAAGCTATATAAACTAAACATTTAACAGTAGCTACCTCAGTTCCAGCAAAGAGCATATTTTCATGCACAGTTATTGAATAAACTTGCCCAAATGATGCTGTTAACTCATGCATCATTTTAGTCTGAGTGTTCCACGCCTGGAATAAGTAGCAAAACAAAAAGTAATAAGCAACGATTAAGTAAGAACGCATTGGAAAAATGAGTTTGCGAGGAAAATATAAATATAAATACAAATCAATAACAGAAAAGGGGAGAACCTTAATAACATTTGGCAATCCAAAAAACACATATGGACCTTCGCTAACCAAGCACCCGATTTCGTGGTCAAACTGAACAACACCAGCACACTGCATGACATAAAGTACCCTCGAGTTCATTATGGGTTTCATTTGAAATTAAAAAAACTTAAAAGCTAGAATCCACTTCCATAAAAAAGCTAATTCAAAAGATTAAACAACAGACCTGACCACTGTGACAGTCCCACATGCGAACTGATTTGTCTTTGCTACCAGAGAAGAGCTGGCTGGAATCAGATGGAAGTGCAATTCCAGTAATGGCCTATAATTTAATTTTATTAGAGAATAAAATTAATAGTTAATGAATGAGTAAAGAGTCTCAAAAAGAAAAAAAGAGAAGAGGAAAATTAAGTACCATGCTATGCCCGTCTAACTTTGCCAGCATGGAGAAGCCATTTCCAGATGGCTGTGCATGCAAGTCATTACGCTTGTCCCCATGGACACAACTGTCATCTACCAAGCTCTTGCATGGCTTGATTTTCGGCTTTTGATTATCTTCACCCTGAAATTCAGTTGTTCTGGTGATGGCAAGTCTTTCTTGAGTCACGGAGCGAACGTCATGTCCAGAAACTTTTTCATTGGCCGGAGAAACAGAACCTTCTTCATTGGCCGAAGAAACAGAAACTTTTTCATTGACCGGAGAAACAGAAACTTTTTCATTGGCTGGAGAAACAGAACCTTTTTCATTGGCCGAAGAAATTCCTCTCTTTGGACCTTTGGAATTAGGATTCACCCAGGTGCTTGTGGGTCGGGTAGACTGTCGAGAGATTCTTGAGAGAGATTGCTGAGGGTACGGAGAAGATGGTGCTGTATGTAGATACTTGCAAGGGTTCCGGTTGCATTTTCCTTGAAGCCAAAATACACACACTCTGGTGTACAAATTATGTGCTCTGCCAATTCGCTTAAACACGGATCCCTCTGATCCCTTCATAACACCATTTGCTACCTTCACAGTCATGCTACAATAAACATAATACTAATAAATTAGGATAAACCCAAAACACAAATGACTGTAATGTATCAGTGGTTTATAGAAGGATTGCAGCCAAACTCCATATTCTTATGTCCATTAAATACAAACAATTTATCCGTGAAAATTCATACTTTTCCCAGAATTCATGAACTCAATGAAAAAAAATGAATAATCCAACGAGATCCAGTCCGAATACATCCGTGAAAACCAAAAAAAAACTTTCAAAAAAAAATTACTCGTACGCGTTAAAGGGGTGGCGGGTAGCTATCGCTGCTTGTTGCCGGCTAACCTTAAATCCATCAATTTTTAAAACTAATAGATGAGGGTACAATTAGATTTAAAACATATGGAATGGAAGAAGTATTAAACCCTAAGAATTGTATTTGGCAAATCCATCCCAGAGAAGAATTCATATAAGTCTAAACCATAAACGTGAAAGAGCTGCGAGGGCAAACCTGAGATTGAATATAATCCTCCAAAAGCCAGACAACGATTTGATCTGAACACTCGGACAACGAGATTGAGGCGTCTGAGGAAATAACGTACGGCTGGGTTGTCGAGTTTGATGTTACCCTAACACTGTGGTGCCCTCTCTTATATACGGCTGGGTTGTCGAGTTTTGTGAACAATTTTTCTCTAGTACGGGATGGACACGGGCCCGGTCCGGTCTCAGTTCTAGTACCGGCTCTTATCAGGATCATAACTTTATCGGGCGTAGCCGGTTTCAAAATTGGCGGTTCTAAATTCGGTTCCGAGCTGATTTTTAATTCTTCTTTTCTAAATCTAATATATGAATAATACACAATACAATATTATATGTAATATTAAAGAAATTTATAAGTTTTTATAAATATTAATAATTTAATTGTTTTTAAATTGAAGAAAGTTGAATATTACAACTACATTTAATATCTCCACAGTTCAAAAAAAGTGACGAGTTAAAGAACCGTAAAAATTTTTCGAATGAACATATAAATTGCTCACCTAAAAAAATAAGTACAATTTATAAAAGATACAAAGTTATTCCTCGGAACTACCACTTCTCTCCGTTGTTACATCCATATAATTTTGTGTATCAATGTTGGTGCCTGTCTCTTGTGCTCGACGTCTTGCCAAGAGCCAATCTAAAATGGCAACAAGTGTATTAAACGATTCAGCACTAAGGCAACTTTGGTAGTCGGTTAGAATGTTGCCGCTAGAACTGAACTCTTGTTCCACAGCTACAGTTGAAACTGATATAGATAACACATGTCTGGCTAGCATTCTGAGTGACGAGAACATGTGTTTATTCCGCCTCCACCATTCGAGGATGTCGAATTTGCTATCATTGTCTTCATCATAGCTGCATGGATACATCGCAAGTTCGTTCTACGAACTTACACTTATACCATTTATACTCATCGACAAAGAGTTACGCTTACTTGTTTCACCAAGAGGCCACCGACTATCACTTTAAATTCCTTTTTGTTTTTGGGACAGGAGGAGCTATTGTTTCTTCCGGTGAAGTACCATAGAAAACTTGAAATTCTTTAAATAATGACTCAAAAAGATCAATAACATTTTCTCTTTCTTTTGTCCATTGTATTAGTTGGTTATAAAAATAAATATTTTCATCTAAAAAACAACTATAATAATACTCTATGAGAATTTTAAAAATCTCAATCTTAAAGTGTGGAACACAAATAATACTAATTTTATAAATATCAAGAATATATAATTAATAAGCACGACATTTATCCCTCATAAAATACACATAAGGGTACTACGAGAAAAGTATGTTTGTCGTAGGTTTATGCTAATTAAATTAAATTTTAGACCATCAACAAGATAAACATCCTTTATGGTTAAATCACTTGAGATGCCAATCGCACCTTTACTCATACCGACCACCTTTTTTTTCTTGTTTTGTCTTCAAGAGTCACATGTTTGTGGCTTTTCTTCTAGAGATTGGTGAAGTATTGTCTCGTGCTGGTCATGTGTTTTGAGTACCCATTATCCATTATCCAATTGGTCTTTTTCACCTAGTCAAAGAGGAATCAACTTTTGATCAGGGTTTCAAGTTCCAATCCACAAAGACTCTATGTCGATAGACGGGTTTTATCTTGGTCGGATTCAGATGTGGTATGTACACCTTCCATTTTTCATCATAATAAAAGAAATAATATCCATCATTATTTCCTTTATTTTCCTGCAGATGGGTTTGTTTTTTATATCCAACTTTCTTGGATTCCGACTGGTTAGAATCTTTCTCTATTTATTTTAATTTTTGCATTTGAACTCATTTCTTATTTGGATATTTTATCATAATATGATTGGTTTTCATGCAATAGTGACACACCTTTACTTTTGATTTAGAAATTGAGGGTTGGTTTGATGAAGGAGTTTTGATTTTGTTTTTAACTACACTCATCCAATTTTCATCGTCACCAAAACCAATTCCTTCATTCGAAAGTTTTGGATTTTGGTTATTCCACAATATTTAGGCGTTGTATCTATTATAAAATACTTCTAAAACTCCTTTTCTAACCTTATCTTTTTTAATTATTAAGTTTTCAATTCGTCTTTGAAAATCTTCTTTTTACCCTTGACGTTTTTCGAGTTTGGTTTTTTAAGGTTTGTTCTCTTCTCGAGATGCTTCAAGGGATGCCTTGAGTTCCTTTTTCTTCTTAATGGTTCGTAAAAGGTCCTCGTGGCACTCATCAAACGCTCTTCAAAAGTGAATTGGTTGCCAATTATGAAAAACACATGTAGAAACTAGAATCATATGGGGAGGAGAATCTGGTGGATGATGGTATTGATAAGTCCAGAGGTTGAACACGAGAAACATGCAGAAGATACAAAATGTTAATGGAGTAATCATTACCTAAAAAAGAGGAGAAGTTATTGATGATTGTCTTTTAAATACTCCCTCCGTCCCAAATTATTTGTCACATTTCTATTACCAAGGTAAAATATCAATTTTTTTCAATTTATTTTATTTACATATTGGTAAAGAAATAGAAAATAAAAATTACATATCAAAAAACTACATGAAAAGTTCTTCGAAATAAGAGTGTCAAGAATATTTTATTTTATCAAATAACCAATGAAAACGTAGAAATAAACAAAAGTTCTCGCGACTGTTCAAAAAGCAAACGTGGCAAATAATTTGGGACGGAGGGAGTATGATAATAGAATCCTAATTAAAATAGGAAGCTTTGGAATAGTGACTTGTTGGTTGAGGGTAAACGTGGACACACACATGAAATTTACTCCTAAATCTAGGAAAAAACAATAGTAGTCATCTTTAGGGAAAACACATATCTTTAAGTCCTAATTGGAACAAATTTTGCATAGGATTTTCCTAACGAGCTCCCCCCAATGGGCCGTGCCCATTACCATACAGGCCTAGAAAATATTATCCCATCAATATTATTTTACTAATACTATTTCACTTCACGGTGTATTTGCTCAATTTAACATTTTTTGAATCAACTTGTATAAATTTTAATCATCAATTATTGTTCATTTGTGTTATATATTAATACAATGAAATGTTGTTTTGAAATTTTTTAACCATACATCATGTTTTTTATTTAATTGAGATCCAAAATTTATACATCACATCTTTTATTTAATTGAGATCCAAAATTTATCTAGTTTAACTAAAAAGGTCAAATTGGACGGATAAACTAGATGTGAATAGTAATTTTTACCTCCGTCTAATGTATTTATCGAGTTTAACTATTACTCCAGGGCACCCTCAATTTCTAATAATAACACTCAGATCCACATCATCTAAAATAATATAATCTAGAGTACCCTTGATTTTCTCGTAAGAACTCTTAGGATACATTTCATTTATTTTACCGTTATAATCAAATGTCTAATACCGTACTTTAAAAAATACTAAATTTTACCTTAATAATCATTATTTCATTAAATTTAAATGAAAAAACTTCAATTTGTTAAAGTAAATGAATTTTAATCCTAACGCCTAAATAGGTGAAATGTACATTTGGAGTACAATATCACAAACTTTAAAGACTTTGGATTAGATTTTGAATAATGCGACGCCTAAGAGTTCTTATAAAAAAATCGAGAATACCTTGAGGTATATTTTAGATAATGTGAGACCTGAGAGTACTACAAAAAATTTGGGTTCTCGAAGCAATTTTTTGCATGTTTGTATAATACAGCAAAACTTTGAAAACTATCCACAAGATAAATTTAATAAAATCTTTTTTATACTAATATACTCCATCCGCCCAACAATAAACTTTCATTTTGAATAACATGCTAATTTTTTTTTAAAAAAAATTAATTTATTTACAAATTGGTATATAATTAAAAAGTACTCCGTAGAAATTACATTATTCAAGACTACATCAAATTTCTGCAAAATAAGAAGTAGCAAGAATATTTTATCTTATTTAATCGTTGATGAAAAATATGCAAACAAACACAAGTTTTTGAGAAGCCATAATAGCAACTGGAAAATTTTTTTGTTGGATAGAAAGAGTACATTACTTGGTATAATTTTTGTTTAATTGATACTTAAAATTCATCTAATTTGATTTTAAAAAGTCAAATTTAACAAATATATTAGTGAGAAGAATAATAAAACAATGAAAGAAAGAAGGATAAGACTCAAATAGAATACTCATTTTGCTATTTAAAATTTGTTAAAAAAATAACACAAAAATATTGTAAATTATCGATTGATATACCGTGTTACATTGTTACATTACAATAATTTTATTTTGGAAATACAAATTAGATCTATATGAGCTAATTTTATGTCTGGGAGAGAGGGCAAGGGGTGTTCCATACGGTGTTACGTTCGTAAAGTTAATGGTTCATACGATCCTAATCCTCTTAAAGCCTACCCATGCCCCTTATTACTGTAGCCGATCTGCGATTTGGGAGAAGGGAGCAGGAAGTGTTGGGGTGGGGCAGGCAAATAAGGGTAGAGGTAGAGTTTAAGAATGAAATACCGTGAGAGCTTCGATCATGACCCCATCCATCTTCGAGCGTCAAAAGAACTACTCCGTATTTTATTCTTATATTCACGTTTATTATTGAGAAACAGCCTCCCTACTTCCGAGTAGGGGCAAGGTCTGCGTACACACACCCTCTCCAGACCCTACTGTTGTGGGATTGAACTGGATTGTTGTTGTTGTTGGTATTCACTTTTATTATTGTGTTACTCCGTAGCATTTTTCATTTCCCATTACTCCTTATTTTTTAATCCCAAACCCCATCCAAGGGTCTAGCCGTCGGAAGTGACCCCAACCAATGCCAGGGCCGGGCTGCACAGAGCAGCGCGACGGAACAAGTTCTACAGAGCAGCGTGGCGAAACAATGGCGAATGGACCTGAAGTTAACCTCCAACGTTTTCTCCAATGGCTACAGGTACAAGACGGCTTACATACAGTGCTCACTCTCTCGTTTGTTTTTCGTTCTATCCGTAAACAAATACTGATTATACAAGCTTCTGTGAAATATTCTTGGATTTCTTGCTTCAATTGATTACAACTTGTCATTTCAGTTGAATAACGTCCAGCTACGCGGTTGCAGTATCAAGTACAG